GCCAGCTCTTCGCTCACCGAGCAGCGGTGTTGGTTGTGATTGTGAGCAAACATTTAGTGTATATGTATATACATGTATATGTATCTGCATGTATGTATAAGTATGTGTATATGAATGTATCCCGGGGTCAATGCCTGTCAGCGAGGCGCAATTGCGAGCTGGATGACTCCTGCAGGGAGTCTGGTAGGCTGGTAGGCTCCGGTCTTCAACGGGCATTTCGCGGGTGAGAGGCCCGAGTTTGGCTACGCGTTCGTCTGCACCGCGATTCGCTGTCAATGACAGCAGCACAGCTGCAGCTCCCCCGCTGGGCACACCTGAAGGTTTGGCCGTCTGGCCGAGGAAGCACAAATTAACTACTCGAGGACGGGGATCGAAAACGACAGCAAGCACAGCATCGCAAGAAGGGTTGGTCGCCATGGGCTGAGGAAGCACAGGCTGTCGACATGGTCCAGGGGAGCAAAACCGCTCCCCAGATTAGATCGAAGGCTCTCGCTGACCCTCCGCTATCCTAAAGTGACACTGCTGAGGAGAAGCAGGAGGCTTAGGAGAAGAAGAAGGAGGAGGAGGAGGAGGTGGAGGAGGAGGAGGGAGGCTGGGACCGGTCTGTGGAGTGGTGGGGGAAGCTTGGACGTCGTTCCAAACGTGCCGCATCTCCGTCTCCCCTTCCTTCTCCTGTTGTGCCTCCTCTCCCGCCTCCTGCTCGCTATCTGGGTAGGAGGAGGAGGAGAGGAGGTGGAGGAGAAGCAGGATCAGAAGTGGACGATGCCCAGCGTTCCCTCGCGGCGCCGAGACAAGTGCAGCGTGGACACCATCGACCTTGGCTACAACAAGCCGGGCCCTGGCAAAGCTGGCAACAAGCGGTTAGGCCGAGCGTTTGCCTCGACTATGCGCCTCAACGTTGCGTAGCGAAAAAGGTTCTCGTTGACGTGGTCAGTTGAAATGTGGCACGGGTGCTATGGCGAAGGCGAGGGGGTGATCTTCCAGCTGTTCAGTGGAACATTCTTCCTTCAGCCGCCGAGGAATTATGTAATCGCTTCGCTCATTCCGCCGGCCCTTCTTGTCGCACCTCTGTCGATTTGGGGGTGTATTCCTGAGGGGGTCGCAGTGACTGTGGATTTGGTTTCGGGGGTTCGTCGCAGATTCTGGCGGGGTTGTCCTGGGGCAATCGTGGGTGATCACGGGTCTGGTCGGTGATTTATTTACTTGTGTCGGTGAGCGTTTGATTGTTTGATGATTCTGGATGGTCGCTGTGGGGCCATGTTTTTCCGTTTTGGAGGGTGGCGGCTTGTGCATGCGACCGCAGGATGAGGAGGAAGATCCAGAAGCGATGCCGGGAGGAATTGCCTCGATCAGAGAAGTGGGCAGCGCACAGAGGAAGGGTCCCCCAGTGGAGGTCTCTTGGAGCGTCTTGGGGGCCTTTGGCGGTCCCAGATGCTTCTTAGAGCGTCTTGGGTGCCGCGGAGAGCTTCTTGCGGCCTCTTAGGGGTCTCTTGGGAGCCTCTTGGAGGCCTCTTGGGCGCCTGTTTGGGCCTCCTGGGCGCCTCTTGGGGCCCTCTTGAAGCGCTCTTGGGAGCCTTGGGAGCGCTCTTGCAGCCCTCTTGGGCCATATTGGAGCCATCTGGAAGCCTCGAATGGCCATCGGAAGCGAAAAGGCGAGAAAGCCAACAGCATTGATTTCCCAAGGTTTTGGAAGGACTTTGGCCTCTTCGGGGCCTCCTGGGGGAGCTCGTTGGCCACTTGGAGCCGTCTTGGAGCGGTCTTGGGGCCTCTTGGAGCATCGTGGGAGCCATCTTGAGGTATCTTGGGATATCTTGAGCCACCTTGGAGGTCATTTTGGGATCTCCCAGGCGCTCCTGGAGTCATCTTAAGCAGTGCCTCCCCCCCAGGAGGCCAACATGTGGCCAAAACCTTAGTACAATAGATGATTTTGGCATTCTCGCCGAGGCCTCGTGGAGCGTCTTGGGTGCCTCTGTGGGGCCTCTTGGGGCCTCTTGGGGGCCTCTTGGGAGCCTCTTGGGGGCATCCTGGGTGCCTTTTGGGGACCTCTTGGAGCCTCCTGGCCACCTCTTGGGGTCCTCTTGGGTCACCCTTGGGAACCTTGGGAGCGCTCTTGGGGCCATCTCGGGGGAGACCGATCAAAGAGGGGGTCCCTCAATTAGCGCTGCGCCCCCAAGAGGCCAAAATGGGGCCAAAACCATAGTGAAACCAATGATCTTGACTTCCTCGCCGAGGCCGTTTTGGACGCCCCGACGACCCGCGAAACGCCCCCTCCAGGTCCAGGTGAGGGGGTACGGGGAGGGGTCAAGACTCCCTCCCGCCCGCAAGCCGTCTCGCTCACTCCCACCCGCCCTCCCAACACATACGTAGCCACGAGCCTGGCCCGAGCCGCAGCGAATGCAGCAGTCGTCTTTGGATGGGCAGCTATTGGGGACGAATCCGCCGCCGCCGCCGCCGCCTCCGCCGCCGCAGCCGCCCCCCGCCGCCGCCGCCGCCGCCGCGCCGCCGCCACCGCCGCTGTCCGCCGCCGCCGCCGCCACCGCGCCGCCCGCCGCCGCCCGCCGCCGCCTCCCCCGCTGCCGAATTGCCTCCCCGCCCGCTGCCGCCGCCGCCGCTGCCGCCGCCGCCACCGCCGCCGCCGCCGCCGCCGCCGCCCCCGCCGCCGCCACCGCCGCCACCGCCGCCGCAGCCGCTTCCCCCGCCGCAGCCGCCGCAGCCGCCGCCGCTGCCAAGTGTACTTTGTATTGTTTGTTGACAGGGATGGTGGGGGGAGGCCGCATCGGGTTCGCTGCGCATGCTCCGAATGTGGAGGCAGAGTGTGTTTTGTATTGTTTTTTTACAAGAGATGGTGGGGGGGTGCCCTCATGGACCCGGGTTGGCTCCCAGTCGCCTGGGGCAGGGGGTGTTTAGTGATAGGGACTTGTGGTAAACACCTCCCCGAATGGGAGGAAAGGGATGGACGAGGCAACACCCTGAGGTTGTCTTGGGCTGTCCAGAGGGCCTCGTGGACCGTCTTGGGGCCTTCTTGGGCCGTGCGGGGCCCATGTTGGGAGTGCGTTGGGCCGTCTTGGGGCGATTTTGAAGGTCTCGTTGGAAGTGTTGGACGCGCTTGACGTCGAAACGTCGAAACGTCGTGGGCCTCAAGAGGCTCTCTAGGAGAGCCTATTGCGGCTCGTTTGGGGCTTCTTGGCGGCGTCTTCGGCCGTCTGTAGGCCATCTTGGGCGTTTTGGGACGATCGTGCGGGTCGGCAAGCTGGAAAGCTCAATTCGAGCTCCTCCGATGGGGCCCCTCGCAGGGCTGCCTGGGGCTGTCCAGGGGGCCTCGTGTGCTGTCTTGGGGCCCTCTTGGGCCGTGTTGGGCCCACCTTGGGAGTCTGTTAGGCCGTCTTGGGGCGATCTTGAAGGTCTTTTGGGCAGCGTTGGACGCGCTGGACTTCGAAACGCCGTATAGGCGCAAAGTGCACGTTTTCTGAAGGGATTGGGACACTTGTTGCTTGTTGAGGCTCTCTAGATGGCCTCTTGAGGCTCTGTTGGGGCTTCTTGGCGGCGTTTTGGGCCGTCTGGCGGGGACCGATGGCCCCTCGGACCGTCTTGAGCACGTCACGGGGCTCGCTCGGGAAAGCCTGGAAGGCAGCGCCGAGGAGGAACACCATCTCTGGGTCTCACTTTGTCAGGACCTGTCCGGGTACTTTTCGTTCGAGGGCCCCCAGGGGCCGCCCCACGCGGGCGAACTAGGAACTTGTAAACCAGTTGACGGAGTTCTTAGCACGCCTCTGGCCCGTTGGGCGGGCGAACATATATATGTATAGATGCACACATATGTGTGTGTTCGTCTTTGAAGTCATATCGTGTCGAGATTGGGTTCGTATCCAGTTGCGTGCGGCAAACCCCGTCGCCCTAACAGCTCAGCATGGCAGCAGCCAGGAGATGGCATGAGATTGTGTGTATGGCCCGCTGCAGTTCGGTGTTCTGTCTGAGCTGCCGCTTGTCTCGAGTGCTCCTCCCTGTACGCAGCCTCTACTTCTCCTCCTACTCATCCGCCTCGTCCTCCTCCTCGTCGTTACACTATATTTCCTGCTCGTCCTTCCCCCCTTCTCCTTCCTCCCGCTTGGCGGTATACTGAAGACTTCTTTGGGGCCTCCAGAGGGCTCTTGGGGGCCTGCTATGGGCCCCGTTTGGGGCCCGTTGAGGGTCTCGGGACCGTCGGGAACGCGATGGTTCCAAGAAGCTCTACCGAGGAGGCTCGGCCGACTCGGCCGAACCATCTTGGAAAGTTAGGGGCGGGTCTCAGGACCGTCTTGGAGCGGTCTTGAGAAGTCAGTTCTCTGGCAGTCTGGCGGATGTCTGGGGTGTCTCTTGCAGCAGTTTGGGGCATTTTCTTTCGGGTTTCCTAAAACTCTTTGAAGCTTTCCCGATGCGATCTGAAGCCGAAAAGCCCGGGACATAAAATCAGGCATCTCGTATGTTTGTTCAGTGTGTTCCGTCTTCGGGAGGCTTCTTGGGGCCTACTGGGGCATTTGGGGGACATCGTGGTGCCTGACGAGGCCGTCATTGGATCCGCTTGGGGCGTCCTGCAGCCGTTTTGGGCGGCCTTTGGTTGTCTTAGATCCCCTTGGAAACCGAAATAGGCGCCCGAGAGCAACGCCCAGAGGCCAGGGGGGCGGCGTTTGACGTGGGCCGCAACGAGCGGGGGGAGTCGTCCTTTGAAGCACAACGGAGCCCTGCCAGACAGCAGACAAACATTCTAGCACGCCCCAATGTGCCGCAGGCACGGTGGCGATTTTGGGGATCTGGACGCTTACGCCCAGAATTGAGTACGTTGCAGTTTGTGCAGTGTTGTCCGAGCATCTGGTATGGGAAAGTTTGGTATCGTACCGCGTGACTCTTGGTTTGCGCGGTGCAAATTTGGGAGGCAACCGAACAGATGAGTAAAGCCTCTCTTGTCCATGTTGGTTCCACTGGTGGCTGTGGCTTCTTCTGCGACTGCCACAGTGTCATTGTGAGTTTGTTCAGTCAGCGTGGCGATCGGCGGAGGATGCGGGTTGGTGATGTGGTAGAGCTGATACAACAAGGCGTCGTTTGATGTTGCAGCGTCTGTGCTGCTCGCCGTTAGGTATGCTTGCATGTGACGTTGTAACGAGTGGTTTGCGCAGTGCCCTCCACACTGATCCGATCACGCTGGCAAACTGCAACTGCTTTTGATCAGCTTGCGGACCGCTATTCCTCTACTACACCTCCCCGGCACAGTTTACAGTTTACGCCACCTCTTGCCCCATTCTGCGCGATGGCCTCCGCCATGTCCATGCCGATGCAGCGCGCCGTCCGTTTTTGCGTCAAGAACACCTTCATCGATGACATCGACGCAGGCGTCGGTGAGGAGCAGCCGCCCTTCCTGCCGCGGAGCCGCACGGAGCCGCTCCCACAGAGTGCCCCCAGCGACTGCGAAGAGCCCTCTGGTGCGGACTCCGAGGGCGACGAGTCCCCGAACAGCGCAGGGAACGGCCCGGAGACGCCCCGCAGACGGCCAGTGGCCCGGGAGTCGGGCGCTCTGGCGCGCCCTGGAGCTGCGGCCTGTCCTGCTCCAGTGAAGCGCACCGCCAGCCTCCGCGCGAAGGACACCGTCGTCGACGTCGACGACGCAGAGGAGGACGACGAGGGGGCGCAGCTGCCCTTTCCGCCGCGGAGCCGCACGGAGCCCGTCGCGCGGCTGGTCTCGCTGGAGAGCACGGACTGCGGCGACGACCTCCGCAGCGACTCGGGGAGCGACGAGGGGGGATCCGACTGCACCCGCGAGGACTCAGCCACGACAAAAAAATGCACAGACACCCTCCACTGGATTGTTCCTGGGCCTTGGGGGGGGGTGGCGATGTGTAAATCACCACTGGGAGCCATCGACTCCATACACCGTCCCCTCCCCAGAGGCACATGCAAAATCAGTCGGAGGGCGTCTGTGTACAGTGCCGTTTTTAATACATGCTCCGCGTGCGGATCATGTATTGAAAAATGCAGGGATGCAGTATTAGAAACAACGATGAGTTCACGCATAAAGTAGTTCATACATGAATCATGCATTAAACATCCTATATGTTTAAGCATCCTATATATTAAACGCTGCCCTGTCTATTCTTTTCGTTGCGTAGAGGACCACTGCGAGTACCCCGCCCACACGCCGTTCGCTGCGGCCACGCCCACGCCCTGGCCCGACACCAGGGAGGCCCAGCAGCTGCGCTTCTTCCCCTCGCCGGCGCCCCCGCGGGCGCCGCCGCCCGACGCCCCCGCGGACCCGCGCGCGGCGCCGCGCCGCGCGCCGCCGCGGGCCCTCGCCGCCCCCGGCGCGCTGGCGATCAGCGCGCGGGACAGGAGCATTGGGGCCGGCTTGGGGGTCTCTGGTGATGGGCCGATTCTCCACCGCCGCCGCGGGGGAGCAGGGAGGAGGGGGAGGTCCTCCTCCTCCCCCCCCTCCTCCTCCTCCTCCTCCTCTTCCTCCTCCTCCTCCTCCTCCTCCTACTATAGTTAATCCTACCCCCTCCTCCTCCTCCTCCTCCTCCTCCTTCCTCCTCCTCCTCCTCCCCCCCTCCTCCTCCTCCTCCCTCCTCCTTCCCCCCCCCTCCGCCTCCTCCTACTATAGTTAATCCTACTACTCCTTCCCCCTCCTCCTCCTCCTCCTCCTCCTCCTCCCCCTCCTCCTCCTCCTCCTCCTCCTCCTCCTCCTCCTCCTCCTCCTCCTCCTTCCCTTCCCTCCTCCTCCCCCTCCTCCTCCACCTCCTGCTCTCCTCCTTCCCTCCCCTCCTTCCCCCTCCCCCCCTCCCTCCTCCTCCTCCTCCTCCTCCTCCTCCTCCTTCTCCTCCTTCCCTCCCCTCCTCCTCCCCCTCCTCCCCCTCCTCCCTCTCCTCCCCCCTCCTCCTCCTCCTCCTCCTCCTCCTCCTCCTCCTCCTCCTCCTCCTCCTCCTCCTCCTCCTCCTCTTTCTCCTCCTCCCTCCTGGAGGAGGCGGGGTTCGAGGCGGCTTCTCGTTGCTTTCTTGGCCTCGGGCCGCCCTCGGGCCCCGGGTCTAATCAGGAGGGACAAAAACACAGACACAACGAATCGTCGATCCCCAGGAAATATAGGGACATATGGGAATGGGGGGGGGGGGAAGGCGAACATCCCCTACGTAAAATATGGCAAATAATATGGGAATATTATTTGTGTGTGTGTGTATTTCTTTGTGTGTCCCTGGGCCCCTTCAAAGTCGGGCCTGCCCCTCTACAGGCGGGATGTTCAAAAATAGTTTCAAAACATAGTCAGGGGAAGACATTTTGACTATTTTGGGGCATTTGGGGAGTATTTTCGGAGTGTTGTTTTCCATATTTCGGCCAAAATCCCCCTGTAGGGGGACAGGCCCGACTTAACTGGGAGCCGGCGGTAAACCGTCAACCAGGTTACCGCCGGAATCCTCGTAAAGCTCTTAACACGCGAATGATTGATCAGATTACGAGGAAAAAACTTCCTGGAATATCAGCTTGGAAATCCGCATAATGTATTTTTTCGGTTTTATACTATGTCGGCCCCCTCACGTCTTTTGACAGTAATATTGCAGCTACAGACCTGAGAATTTCACCGGCAGACGCGGCATAACCCACTACACGTGAGAAAAATACTGGTTTTCAAAACGAATGGTCAAATCTCTCACAATCTTAAAAAAAACCGACCCCAGGTCACCACATTGTCCGCCCAGGCCGGGTGGGCCAACTAGCTCCACCCCGCGCCGGAATTCCTCTAGCTCATAGATGCCGCAGAGCTCTACGAGGTACCCTGGGGCCGCGAGAAGCGGACCCGGGGCGAGACGCTGCAGCAGATGGGCCCCGGGAGGGGTCCAGGGATGGATTTCGAGAGGATCCCGGAGATCCAGCGTATTGAAAAAGTCAGGACATAGGTTTTTCTTATTTTTCGGCCTCGAGCGGCTCTCGCCGGGCCCCGGGACCGTCAAATAACGGCTCGGGATGAAAAACCGGTCCTGGGGAATGGGTGGAGACTTCCGGGGACCGCGTATTGAATTAACACGACGTCGGATCTCTGGGATTCGGTCGGCGTCACCCAAACATACCAGAACTATGTGCGCGTCGCCCCCCCCCCCCGGGGCCACGCGCGCACCGAGAACTCTTGCAGTTCGTGTCGCGGGCGCGCGTCTTCTGGCCATGCCGCTCGGGGAACAGCCTGCCACAAGATGTTTGCACTCCATGTTCGGGTCGGACGCGCGCCTCCGAGGATGCCCTTGCGCGTCCCATCCGTTCCGGCCCCCCGCCCTGACCGACTGCCCGGGGCCCGAAGCGCACCACTTACCAAACCACCCCAACCCAACCCGAAGGCCTCAATTTGCCCTCCATTTCCAGTGGGGGGGGGTCGGGGAATGTTGAAAAGACACATGGAACCCGTACCCCCCCCAACCCGAAATTCGGGTCAAATTCGGGTCTTCGGGTTGGGTTGGGGTGGTCTGGTAGGTAGTCAGAAGCAGTTCGGGCCCCGCCGGCCGCCTCCCGCAGGAGCCTGGCCGTCAGCCGGGCGGGCGGCGCCTGCCGCGTGCAGTGGAGCGTGGACGCGAAGAAGCTGCGGGGCTCGGACAAGCAGGCGGTCTCCCCGCCGCTGGAGCTCTCCCTGCGCCCGGGCGCGCCGCCCGCCACCTTCAAGCTGCTGCTCTGCCCGAGCGGCGGGGACTCCTTCCGGAAGGCGGGGGGCGTGGGCCAGGCCGCTCGGGCAGAACAAGTGCTCCTCCCCCTCCTCCTCCTCCTCATCCTCTCCTCCTCCTCCTCCTCCTCTCCTCCTGCCTCCTCCTCC